ACACACACACACACACACACACACACACACACACACACACACACACACACACATACACATACATACACAGAGAGCTTCAGTTTATGAACATTAGTGTTTCTGTGCCTGCTGTTCAGACATCCACCACCATCTGGGCCACAGCACCAGGTCAAGATCATTGGTTTTCTGTTAGAATAATGTTATTCTTTTACTTGACTTTTAGTGGTTCCCTTTTAAAAATATCACAGTTCTTTGTCAGAATAAACGTGTTACAGTTAAACAACCAGGCCAAAACATTTAAAAAAAAAGTTGCTTATTTACAACTCAGKAGCCCATAATGAGTCATTATAAACCACAAAAGAACTGCAATGCCCCCTTTGATAGTAATAATCGGTGCAAATCAATCCATTTTATGAATAAGCCTTGTTACATTTTTAATGATTTGTTTGTTTGTTAGCCTTGGGGGTGCAGTTTGTGTTGGGGGTGGTGGTGGTGGTGGGTGCTTTAGTGATAACCTCTGTAGACTCTCCTCTATCTGTGTTTACCCAGATCCAAGACACCTCGGAAAGGTTGAATATCCTCATTATTACTCCCCGCGTCTTTCTTTAATTCGACCGCTCAGAACTGCCCTTATCAGCGGGCGAGGTCCCAATTTATCCAGGGGTGGAGGGGAAAAAAAAAAAGAAAAGAAAAATCAAAATAATATAAAAAGCTGTGCATAATTTGCTGTGAAAAGTGGAACTTTTTTCCCCAGCTTTCAGAAGAAAGTTGGCCCCCTCCTTTAACTCTTTCATGTGCGATTTGTCGACTCGAGCTGTTCTTTTTTTTTGTGAAAGGGCACAAAATAGAATGAAAAGCAAAATGATGACTCCTCCTTAATTAGATGTCATTCAACCTCTGCAGGCATCTGAAACAGTTTGATACCCCCCCCCCCTCAAAGAAAAAATCCATATGTCATCATTTAAATATAAAGATAACTTGAAGATAAAGTAATTATAGCCCCCTATTTCATACCAAATTAGTATATTTAACCAGTGTAATACATTTTAAAAAGGGCTGGTGTAATTGTATGAAATAAAATGTAAACCATCACTTTTGGAGCAGCTATTGTCCTACTTTAAAGCACTGAGGAGGTTTAAATAAAGCACATATATTTTTAAACCCTGATTCCTGTAAAACTGTACATTATGACTATGGAGCGTGTAATTTCTGCAGTCTCTCAATCACTCTGATCACTGCCTCAAAGAGAGGAATGAAACCCAATAACAGGCCGTACGTGTGTGTGTGTGTGCGTGCGTGCGTGTGCGTGTGTGTGTGTGTGTGTGTGTGTGTGTGTGTGTGTGTGTGTGTGTGTGTGTGTGTGTGTGTGTGTGTGTGTGTGT